CCTCTTCCATGTGGATGGAAAGCCAATATGACGAAAAACTGTCGCGTTTACTTCTGAATACGTTTCCGTGTGGACAGGTTGATACCACCTTCAGATAGACTTTGCAGCGGGGAGTGGGTTGCTCTTCGTCTGAAACTGCGAATCTGTACCAGTTCCACACTACTGACTTGCTCTTGCCCCCTTTTAGCTGCGAAATTCTCTCCTCCTTTTGCAAACGCCATGTTTGTTTACACTGGTGTGTGTGGGAACTGGGGAGCGCTCTTGCTAGAAGGGGGAACCTACGATGGCTTGAAAGCATGAGACATGAAAGAGAGGATAATCAATTTGACAATCAATTTTAATTCATTTAAAATCATCATATTTAAATAATCTGATTACAATTCCAAATCAATTAATTGTGCAGCCCTACTTACTCATATCTTTTTATGATCACATTTCAAGGTCTTATAAACTATTTGAATCCACTTAATAGAGGACTTGTTGAATAAAAAGTGTCAAATTACTTCACTTCTAGTTAATTCAGATTGTTTTAATTTGTGTTCTGCAAACATCTTTGGTCAATTTTCTTCTGAATGCCATAAACTCCTGCTGGAGTGTGGTGTAACTGTCTGCCCCTCTAAACACGGCTTTGTCTCTCTCTGGAGAGCTGCATCTGCTACCTCCCAACAACATGCCTGACACACACACAAACACACACACACACACACACACACACACACACACACACACACACACACACAGAAACAAAAAGTGGCCTTTAACAGCACATGTTGCTGCTCTCCTGTTTAAAGTCTGTAGGGTGGGGGCGGGGCTGGGGGGGGTCCACAAAAGTCCATTTACAGTACGGGTCAGTACTTCTGAAAGCCTTTACCACTCCAGCCAAATTCTTTGTCTTCCTCATTCACTGCCAGTTATCTGGACTGCAGGCTTCACAAAAGCAATTGGTGTTATATTGTCCGTGCTGACATTAACCCCTGATATTTTCACTGCTCTCCATTAAAGTCCTCTTTTCCTCCTCCATTACCCGGCAATCCACTCTGAGCATGGGGTCAAAGCGACCATACAGAGACACTGAGATCCTCCCTGACAAAGACAGAGGGGAAAGAAAAGAAACAGAAAGTGCAGCGGCGATTAGTTCCGTTTTTTTGTCATCTTTTCTTTTGTTTTGGCTTCGTTTGGGACACAAAAGTCCCTAACAGCCCGGATAAGTGCAGCTCTTAAGCCTCTTTTTTCACCTCGTCCTGGCCAAAAATGGCAGCCCTTTCATTCACGTGCTGTTTCCTCTCTTCTGCTATTGACAGAGAGAAAAGTGAAGGAATGTGGAGCAAATTAATGTTAACAACAGGTTCATATTGTCTGGCCTCACACATGAAATGTTGTTTTATTGCATGGATTGAGTCCAAGTCAGATATTTCAGTAAGGTTAGACTGAGGTCAGCTGAATAGTTGCATGTCTAAATGATAACAAAGGTCGCTTAGACGGTCAGTTAGCCGGTTCAGCATTTCCTCACAGAAGCAGCCGTGATTTCATGTCCTATCTAATCTGTGGAGACCTGATGAAATGACACGTTGGTATCACTGTGTGACAGCTCGATTTCAAGGTGTACACAAACACATTTGATTGAATTCCTGGAACTTACTGAAATTCAATAAAGAGAATAAATAGTCAGGCATAACACCAGTCTAAGCACGATACTTTTGGGGTCAAGAGTTCAGCTGATTCCTTCACTATTAACACCTTTTTAGAGCTGTTTAAACATTCCTGAGAGTATCAGACTGCTTCATAATCACCTTTTAGGAAATGTGGGTTTTATTCTACTCTATGTGTTCAGACTTCGATATAGAAAGCCAGTGTAAAGGCTCACCTTCACACTGAGGAAAACTAACAGAAGAGTAAAAAGGTGGATGTTTTCAGATCATCAGATGAGAACATAAGACCACCTGCTCGACACAACAGGCTCAAACTTTTTAAACTAATTACGACCTTTGAGTCAAGTATATTTGAGCTGATTTACTGCAAAGGTCTCCTTCACAACAAAACAAACAACTCAGATAATTTACACAGGTAAAGACATGGTATAAAGTAACTCAAATTCAAAATACAGTGTTTCCCAGATGCTCCTCTTTGGTGTTGTGCATCACAGGGCCTGTGAGCTGAGCTGCCACTTGTCTGTGCTTATGTTGCTTCGGTGGTAGGATTCCCTCCGTGTCCCATGTTTCAATCTGCTTTCACAGGGGAAAAAACTGAAGTAATGGTCTTTCCATGAACCAAATTTGATTTAGGTTTTCACAAGCCATGCCAATCTTTGCCAAAATATGCATAAAGAATACAATTTTAATGGCTTTCCTGGGTCTGTATCAGCTGTATTTGTTACAAGCATGAAAAACACAGCATGAAAGCCCTTTAAGGTTGCTTCTTAAAGCAAATACCCAATCTGCTCCATCTTAAGGGTGAGAAAGATACGGTTGGTGCACCAAAAAAAAGGTGGTGCCAAAAAAGTGAGACAATACAGATATGTTACACTCATGATTGTGAAACATATATAATTTTTTACCATGCCAAAGGCCACTCAGTGGAAAGGCAGCTCAGGAGTCTTCAAGGGGAGCTACAGAGGGCTGCGAACTGAGCTGCTGCTTACCCCAGGAAAAACTTGATCTGGGTGAAAGATAAAGGTTGAGATCTTGTGTGCTTGGAACATTTTTACAGTGCACAAAACTTGAGACTCATCAAGTCCGATGTTAAAGTTTAAATATTGACCACCCAAATCTGATTCAAATGACAAATTCTGTGTTTGGTACAGCTCCAAACATGAAACGTGTTTGAATGTGTTCCCATTAGCACTTTTTGCCTCATTGCTAGTCCTCAGATTACCAGTACCTGTGACTGAACCACCTGTATTTGCAAACAGATGAGACTCAAATTTCTGCATCAGTGAACCCGGTGACAGACAGCAGGGGGGTGGACACATACGCACAGCCTATTGTTTGTAACGGCCAGGCTGAGGAATGTCAGTGACTGAAGAGTCCTTGAGGCTGATGGCGGACAGATCTGTGAGCAGACAGAGAAGACCCCCACTCACCTGCAAGCAACAAGTCCGCCCTGCCCCCGAACCAGGAGACCAGAGTCTGCATCTGTCTGCTATTACACTGCTGATACACATAAATGTCCATTGATCTGCTATACAGACTTGATCAATCTTTTTTCACTTTTTATCACACTTAAAAAGAAAACAGATTATTTCATCCAATACGATTTCTTACTCTGAGGACTGCAAACTTGACGCTATTTTAAAGTTGCATGTTCCCGGCAAATCAAGTCTTATGCATTTAATAGAAAAATTCCCTCAGTCTAATTTTCCTGAGAATGTAAAACTGTTTTGGCTTTTCCTGAGTGCGTTCACAGGTTGAGGTCAAGAAGTGCTACAGCTGAAGTTGAGTGTGCAGCTTGTGCAGCTTGTGCAGGCTGTTGCTGCGATGTATCATGTGAGCTCACAGCATGGGCCCTACATCGTCCACAGCTATTTCTGTCAGTGTAAAATCATGAGAACCACTTCAAGCAACACAAGGCTGGCCAGAGGGCAATATCTCTTTTGACACCATGCCAAGTCTGCTCCCTCTGACAGGTCAACAGCCTGGTTATATGAAGAGAAATAAATCTGATTTCTGTCTTTTTTTTTTTTTTAGTTTAATGTTTGACTTTAGCAGCTCTGGCTCTCACGCTAATGAGAGTTTCAGAGCTAGAGCTGTGAAGAGAGTGACAAAATCCCTTTGTGATGGCCTTTGTGAGGAGGTGGAATGTCCAAACAAACACTTTCCCAGGGTTCGGGTGATTCACAGAGAGATCCCACAGGCTGTCAGCGTGAACCCTACAGCTCATTACTGACTGCGCTGAGCTGATTTATGATCGCGGGGCGCTATAAGTCGTGTTTATAACACTTGGATCGGCTGTGAATGACGATGAATGTCGCTCCAAAAGTAATACTTTGAGGTTATGAAAGTGTCTCCACATAATTTGTATTATATGAGTGTTATACAGGTCAAAGACATTAATATATTCATTTCCTGGTTTTGCTTTTGAACAGAAAAAATTAAAGAGTAAACCTTTTAAGTTCCAACCGAAAGATATTTAACAGCAAACAATTCTGAGAAAGAGTTTTACTGCTTTTGAACATTGAGAAGTTTTCCTTACTAACTTTGAACAAAACCTATGATGTTCAGAAACTTTGTTGTAGCTGGTTACATTCAGTTACAAATCACAAAGTTGGGCTTGTTGAAGTTTGGTGGCCAAAATCCTTTTGTTCATCCAAAATTTTGAGAGCAAATTGAGAGAATCTGTTTGCAAATCAAAAAGTTATCCAGAGAATCAAAATCATTAACTTGCAGATTTAAAAAATATTTTAAAAAATAGCTTTTCTTTTGGATATAAAGCTTTTGTATCAAACACAAAATACTCTTTGGGCAGGAGATGGTGGTGCAACTTAAGGTTTTTCGCTTGAGTCCAATTTCATTTATTTAATCATTCATTTATCTATTTTTGGTAAGTCAGGACTATTTTTGGTTTGGAACTGAAACTTTTTGGTGGCAGATTCAATACTTTTAAATCATTCATAAAGCTTTGTACATTTAAAGTTCTAGTTGCATTTGGTCTTGATCTTTTATGTTTGATCTTGATCTTGGACCAGCGCCAAGAGATCTATGACCTTCTTCTACTGAACAGACTCAGTGGCACCCTGGTAATATCCACTGGTCACAGTCAGAATATAAAAAACATGAATGTAGTCTCAGCGATGTCTCCCATTGTTTTTTAAGAGGTGTTTTGAAGCTAAACACTGTTGGTGTTCATGTTTAAAATGCTTACATCAGCTAACTTTTGATCTCCCAAGTTAAAGAGCTACACCTGCCTGTCGAATTCAACCACAACCTCAGTTATGCTAATGAATGCACAGCCCTTACGTCTACAAAATAGATGAGCTTTTTAAAAATCAAACCCTCCATACAGTATGAGCTGTTAAAACCAAAAAAATGTTTATTAAACCAGGCTGTAAGCTTGATTTATGTTGCTGTAAAAATGAGAATTTGTACAAAGGTGTTGATGGAAGTCCTGAGTTTTTGGAGCCAGCCTCAAGTGGAGGCTTTGGGAACTGCAGTTTCATGCTCTTCCAGATTGGCTTCATTTTTCAACACAGATTGTTTCAGCTTGATCATAATTAGGAGGGAGATTAGGTCCATGGCAAAGACAAAGCAGGAGAACAGGATTAGATAATGAAGAAAACCACTGAGCAGATCATGAAACCTCTGTCTTTGTACCTGCCAACAATGTAATTTTTGAATTAATGCTTATTATGATTGCAAAGATAAAAGACGTAGTTATACTTTGATTCAACTCTGAAGTTATGTATGAAAACCTTACACTGTCATCAAGTCCACTTCTCCTTTATTAAAAAACTGAGACCAAGAAACATCATTAAAAGACAAACTCTGCAACACTGGTGTAAAATGATGAAGATCATTTAATTATTTTATAAATACTTCTGTCTTTATTTCAGTATACAAAATAACATTATGTACATCCACACAAGAGTGGTTTACAAAATCCTTGAGTTCAGCTCATGGGCTCTGAAAAATAGAATATATTTTAGAACTGCAGACAAAAGAGATAATGCACCATTGTTCAAAGTCCTTAACGCTCCTCTTCTCTCGATCCACAGGGATGCAGGCATGTCAGGATCCACACAGGACATGTGAGAGTCCAAAACGTCAACCACAAGAAAAAGATCCACGATTGAAAAGTACTTGAAGTTCCCTTTGTGTTTCCTTTTCCTCTGTTGTCCATCACTATGAGGAAAAAAGTCTGAATAGTACCAAAAAAGTACCACATGGATCCATCAGAACCCTTTGATATCCGAGGAATGAAGCCAAACACAAGTCAAGTGAGGGGAAAAACAAACCCTCTCCTCCAGCATAAAATCCAATATTATTTCTTTTTATTAGAGATATAATAAAATAGACTTTCACTATCCCTTTCAGTCGGGATTGATACTCATTAACAAAAAAAGAAACACCCAGGAGGACGGTGGTCTTCACGTAAACCGGCACTCAATGTCCAGCTTTGTGAAGCGAAGAAGCCCAACTTAGAGATTTGATACAAAATGATACTGACACAAGAACAGACCGCTTCCCGTGAGATACACATGCTAAAGCTTAAGACAAAAGTAAGCCTTTGTGGTATTGTAGTGCTTTGGTTAATCTGTAGTCCCGGGTGGCTGGGCACAGGCGGAGGACTGAGGCTGGGACTCATTTGCAGACATATCTCTCCACGATCCGCTCACACTTCTTGCAGGTGACGTAGCAGCACCAGTGGTACTTGCAGTGGCAGCGCTCCACCAGCTTCTCTGTGTACGGGTTGTAGCCACGACCACAACACATCAGGTCACAGCTGTCACTGCCCAGAGAGGTTTTGTTGCACTGCCTGAAACGAAGAAAAGAGGAAACGTTAAAATCAGCATTACACTTCTACAAATGCACACTCTGAGCATTTGCACGCTACAAGGAAAACTCCATTTGAGCTTGATCCAGATTTGAATCTCCTTAGAGTGTAATTGTGTTTAAATGCACGCAACTATCCTGGTCATTACATTATTTTATGAGTATCCTGGCTAAGATTTGTGCCTGTCAACCTTCTGTTGTTGTTTCAAAAATCTGGATGGGTTCTTGTCCAGGTTTCAGTAGAGCTAGATATATGACCATGAGTACTCAAGAGAACTCATGAGTCTGTGCTGCAGCCAACCTCTGGAGCTTCTTTTTTGTCCAGTTTTTAGCAATGAAAGACTTCAGATCAAGACCTCTGTGCCTGTTTAAGTCATTATTTACAGACAGACCAGCAACTCAGTAAGCAACAATGGTGTTTGTTTTAAGAAACAACATCTATTATGGGATTGATAAATGCTCTTGTCTCCAGATATTGATCTGTATCAGCTGATTTCAGCTAAATCAGCAGCAGCTTGGATGAGTACAGATGGGATTGCATTACAGCAAACTGGGTTCTGCCTCATTTGAGTCAAAGCCCACTGAAACAACAGTGGACGATGCTACTTGGATGACAAACACAAACCAGAACTCCTGATAACAAAATCCGCTCCCAGGCCCGCAGCTTTGTATTTTCTTGCAGAATGTGTAGATAGAGATGAAGAAAATGATGACTGGGATGATGGGAAACGAAGTCAGGGCTGCCTGCAGACCGGTATTCCCTCATTATCAATAATACATTGAGTTGTTACTGGGCTTTCCTGCTAAACCTGGCTTAGAGTAAAGACCTGATTCCCACTGGGCAAAAGCCTATAACAGAGGTGACTGTAGTAATTCTGAATAACGAGTGGTGGCAGCGACTACCACTCTTTAATCCTAGTTTCCTATTCTGTCCACTGTCCTATTCTTTCAATAAATGCATAGAAAGCCCTAAAAAATGAAAAAACACCCTAAAAATAGATGGAGTGCTCTTGGTAAAATGTAAAGGATTTTCAGGACCAGGACTGGGACAAAACTGGATTTCTGATCCCAAGACTACTTTAACTTCAATCTTATTGCCCCACTTTGAGTCTTGACCTATTTTTGATGTAAATCAGGATATTTTGCTCAGAAGGAGCCTAGTTGATAACTTTCTTGCCAACATCATTGCAGCATCCATGTCTGTCTCTCTCTCTCTGCAGTTTTGTCTTCTTCTCTCACAGCTGCAGTTCCTATTTTGTAAACCAACAATAAATGTGCAAGAAGACAGATCAGCTTTTTAACATGCAGGAATCCATCAGAGTCAAGGAAAAGCACAATCCAGGGTTCTGAACGAGAATAAGGACTAATCCACCACTCTAAAGCAAAGATATTCACATGCTCAACCAATATCTGGACTGCTTTAAAAACTTTTTCCTAACCAGTAAGCCAGCATACAAGTACATGTGTGCACATGTAAAGACGCTTGGTAAAACATGAGCAACATGAAACTATAAACGTAAAAAACTACAATGATAACCAGGAAACTTTTATGCATGTAAAGCTTTAACAAGACAGAGAAAATGAGGCCAACTACCAGTAGCAATTTACTTACTGGTCTAAGACATTAAGTTTATAGCTTGGTACTAAAATATTTTGTCCAGTCCTGCAGCCTGGGGAGGCAACAATAGTCCTTTAAGAGTGCTTGACTGACCAGCCAGCCTTAACCTTTTGTGCACTCCTTCCTCCAAACATTTTTTCCTCTCATTTTCTTTTTGTTTCGTCGTCTCTGAGGTAGTGGATGTTTGGGAGCCTCACACCTCAGAAGCCTGTGGCATCTTAAATGAGCGGAGAATAGCCCTCCATAAATCACACTGAATACACAGAGCTGCCCTCCCTCCCTCTCTTTAGCTTGCCCTCTGCACATAATTGCATTGTTTTATGATGGCAGAGTGTTAATGACCAGCATGGTGAGGGAGACACTTCGTTGCTGGCTGCTGGGCGAGTGAAGGAGGAGGAGGAGAAGGAGGAGGAGAGTCATTGAGAGTGGGCGACAGGTTTATTGGAGCAGTGGGAGCTAGAATCAGACAGAAACCCCCACACTGGTTTGTCAGTAGCAAGATCAGGTTATATCACTGCTGTGCTGTAAGTGGAGTACATCTGCTGGTTTACATAAAGCAACAATTAAACAATTTAGGACTAAAGCTCAGGCTTCAATGGTAAACCTCATCCCTGGGTCATGGCCCTGTTTTAGCACTCTTTCTCTGGTCACACAACAACCATTAGAGAGCTGCTGCTGAAATTCAATTTCTCTGTCCCAGATTCTATAGTTAGTCCAGAAGCTGGACAGAGAAGGAGTACCTATTTCCCTGGAGTCTCATAAGCTAAAGGAAACTGTTTTTGTTCCCCTCCCCTTTTTTTAACATATATAAGTGTCTTGTTGGGTGACAATTTTGAAATGTTTGATCTCAGTATTCAAGAGCAACTTATAGGTGTAATTTTTTTCAATATTTACACTTTATTTTGGCTAAAACTGGCTGTTAAAAAGAAGTAATGTATTGCATATTGTACGTTAAATGCATCATGATATAAGCCTATGTCACCTAATTTGGTTTTTTTACAAGCTTTGACCCTTCCACTATCAACACAAATCTAAACAATGGATTGTTCTGTGAACTACAAAGACTTTCAGTAAAGTTGCACTCTGAAGACCGCTCAAGCTGTTGCACTCTGGTTTAATTTAATGCACAATGCTGATGCGCTTAGCCACAGAGGTTGTGTTACTCCTGCAGAAAGCTATTTTGCAACATAAATTTTTAATTCAAATTAATAATTTGATGGATCGAAATGCCTCTACATAAGATGTAACGCAACAAACACTGTGGTTATATGTGTGAGCTGCAGAGTGGAGGACAGTTACAGGCTGAAGTGACAAAGTGATTTAACACTTAAAAACAGACTTAATATATCTGTGGTATACTGTAAAACATCTGCATCCTAACCACATAAACTGTTGCAGGTCTCTAACACCAATAATTCACCTGCTCAGTTCTCTGCTCAGTCTCGCCTCTCCTTCAGCCTATGCCTCCTATTGCTGTCTGTTTCTCTTGGACCTGTCCTGTTCCTGCTGTCTGACCTTTAACCAGCCTGTAATTAAAAACTTGTGGTCCACTGTATGCAAATGAAGAGCATTTTCTTGCTCTTTGGTTACAAGACTAGCATTAAGGTCCACATTTGTTAATACTGAACAGTATCTCCAGGACTAAAGCCACATCCAGTTTTTGGGTTTTGTTGCAGAAATAAAGTAAAACGTTCCACTTGAGTGTGTTAGTTTATTTCATTTTCAATGAATATTCACCTTGAAAATCCCTTTCTGTGCACGATTGATTGTCTGAGGTTTCCAATCCGTGAACTTATCTTCAACACCTACGCTGATGATACACCTCTGTATGTTACATTCAACAAAAATTGAGTGATGGCCCATTTCGCAGTGTAATCAGCAACAAGTAATTGATGAATGTAGACAAATGTTTTAAATGAAATGGTGAGAAAACTGAAAGACTACTACCTTACCCCGTTTCTAATTTGGTGCTTTGGCCTGACCGTTCATCAGGCATTTTTTAAGACGCAGACTAAAATTTACCTTTCCATAGAGGGTGACCAAAATAGCTTTCTTTTACTTGAGAATCGCCGCCAAGGTTAGCTGTTTCAATGCCAACAATGTGCCTAAAGCTGTTCATATCAAGAAGATAATGCCCCTATAATGTTGTTTTCACTGCCTCCAGCTCTGACACTCCAAACATTCCTGCCTGTTTCATGCCAAACCTCCTTGGGATCTGTAAAAATCTTTAAAAAAAAAAACAACTTTACCTCAAATAACTGGCCAGTGCAGTATAACATTTATTATTCTCCCTTTATATGTGCAGCCAGTTCTTAATAAAAAACATCACACAAATAAGAAAATATGAGAGCCTAGCCTGTTCTGACTATAAACCACAACTTTGCAACCCCTTCTTCTAAGCTATGAAAAGTTAACTCTGAACATTTTTGTTTCATCATTTTATTCAATCTCTTATTATTATTTTAAATGGGTCAGAGCTAACAGTAAAGATAGCAGCAAGGTCATTTCAAGTGTAAATCCGGTAAATCCTCCCCTTGAGTGGCCACCAGTGTCAAAGAAATCAGCAGCGATAAACTCTGAGCATGTGATCCACAGCAAGGACATTTCGAAGTCTGAGAGAGAACTCCTCCGATAGCATCACACCAGACACATGTGGGAATAATAAATACCCACGCATGTACACTCACAGTTACTCATACACAAATATATCGTCACATATTCATGTAATGGTGGTGCCTCACTAATGTTGTAGACTGTGTGTGGCTGCTGCCTTATCAGGCTGCTGTAATGGAACACACTGGACATGGTGAGTGTCCTTGACATGAAGCATGCTTTGTGGTTATCTGTAGAGTGGCCTTAAGCCGGGGAACACATGATATGACGGTCAGATGATGTATGACATTTCAAACAACATCACGCGCCGTTTAATGAGGCATTTTCTTCTCAGTGACTTACACAACCATTAACACTGGCTGTTGACGTTGATGCATGTTTAAGTACACTCCAATGTACTTAAACATGCATCAGTGTGCAAATCATTGTCTGAATTCTTATGCAGACAGGAATATCAGGATAGACATTAATGGATGATCAGCGGGAAACTGTTCCGGGTTTTTTTCTTACGACGATTCAATTAATCTTCCACATAGTTACTCATCATAATAATGATTTTGGCGCTGCAAACATGTGCTCTGTTCCCTTTCTTTAGTTAACAAAGAAAAAAAAAGGGGAACCTCAAGTATTTGCACTGTCTCTGTCTCTCTCCCACCTCAAAGCAGATATCTGACCACCAGCTGAAGATAAACCTACAGATGTGTCAGTGCACACGTATAGCTAGCTGATTCAACTAGTGCTTTGGTGAGATAGGAGAGAGGATGGCATCTACTTCTAGGAATTTTTTTGAGTTTATTTAGGCAAAAAGGACAAGAGGTAAACCTTGAGGACCAAAGCTTATCAGCTGCTAAGAACTTCCAATTTGGAGAAGCCTCTGCAAGTTAAACATAGCCCTGCAACAATGGTGCCGAGGGCCACTCAGGAGAAAGATGCTGGTGCTAGAGCTCCAAACAGCAACAGATTGCTCATTACTAAGTTTAGGAAGGAGAGGAGAATAGACAACACAAATATGCTGCAGAGTGCTGTGCCCTCCTTGCCGGGGAACTACAAGAACTACCAACACCTGTTCTTGTCATGCATCCACCAACACAGCTACCAACGAGGACTCTGAAGACGACTTTTTACAAGAACAGACACAGGAATACAGCTTCAGCATCTGTCTTAGGCTAGCTAGCAAAGCAAAAGCACACTGAGACATTAGTTTTGTCTGTGAGTAACTCGGGAATGTAACATGTATGTAATGGCAGTTATCTCTTGACATAAGTTACTGTCATCAAAAGCATTTGTCATTATCGCACATGGTAAAGATAATTAAGGCCTTGTTTTAGGAAGAAGGCTCCCATAAATGGCATCTCACTGGCTATTGTAACCAAAGAACTATTTCTAACCATTTGTGTGTTGCAAACTTTGCTAACTGAAGACTTAGGACTCACTCAGTAACATCAATATGTGTTTATTTTCTTACTTTTGTTGACTTATTTTTATTGATTTCTTTCTAATCACAGAGAAAAGTTCTTCACCAACAACATGGTCCCTACTCTTTCCTGTTACCCTCATCTGTTATGCTAGCCCAACCTTGTAGCACAAGCGTTATATCAGTCAGCGTTATATTCATAACATTTTTAGACGTTTAATGCATGTGTAATTTTAATGGAGTGTTTCCATTAAGTGGTCTAGTCTGGCTTATGGTTTGGTACAGTTTTCCACTACCAGTTGTACCCTTGATTGGTTAGGAAAATAAACTGGTTGAGTGGCTGGAAATTTTGTGGAGTGCATTTGTGACAAGAGCTTGGAGGTAGATACAATCATCTGGGGCTTGTTGGCTGGATGGATTGCATGTTCTGTGTATCTAAACAACACTTACAGTGAATTCATGTTGTATACAGATTGCAAAGATAATGAAAATACATCCTTATGCGTAATCTCAAACACAATCTTCAGCTTTTCAATCTTTAAACTACAACACGGCAACACTAACTAGAAGCAATAAGCATGAAAAGTGAGCATTCATACAAAAACCACAGGCCTATAAAAGGCAGAGTCATAAAGTGTGGAAAACATCTTGCTTTTGATGCTGAATTATGTTGCAATATACTGACCTGAAACCCTAAATGCTGATAAATATTGTTTCTCCAGATGCTTGCCAAAATGTTACATGAAATACAACCTCTCTTTCTTTCTCAATGATATACTGATAGAAACTGGAACACGTGCAACATACTTTGCATTTCTTTTTCCTCTTTGTTCAGATGGATCTCAGCCTGAGTCAGACCCTTACGCAAGTGTGTCAACTACTGCTAACTTGTTACCGAGTACAAACCAGCACCACTTAACACAGTCCCAGCTAAAGCACTGAAGCTGAATGATGTAAATAAACCTTTATCTTTCGGGGACCATTAACTATTTCTCCATATGTGTGGCCCTCTTCAATGATATCAGCTTGAGTGCACCCAGTCCTAAGAATAACCGCATTAGTCATTATTTCAGATAGTGGGACAACGACTCTAGTCACAGTGGCCTTTTCAGTGACACATGCTCAGACGAGCCACAGACAGAGCCCTCTCAGAGGCCACGGGCTGTTATCAGGCAGCCTGTTAAAGAAACAGAGCCAAGAGGCAGGACAGCACTTCACTAGAGTCAACATCCTGAATAAGCAAGCGTTCAGGATTGGTCATTTCCTATCCGTCTGCTGCGTGGGTCTGATTCATACCAATAACTCCAAGAACAGAAAGCTATCATTACCACAAAGCTTCCTCTTCTGAACAATCAAGCACAGTGATGCAAAATGAGTCTTACCTGTCCTGAGTGCCCACAGAGCCCTGTTTGTCATTCTTGGTGCAGAAGTCTGGGGAGCTCTGCAGGTAGACCAGCTCGTTCTCCCTCACCGGCCTGATGTCGATATCTTTAGGTACCAGCTGTTTGCGTGTCCCCATAGGCCGGTGAACCACTTTGGTGGCAGACAGGTACTTGGACTTTAGGTCCATTGCAATTTCCCTCAGGTCTTGCAGGCCCCTCCAACAGGTCCTAATAGAGCAGGAGCCAGACACACCGTGGCATTTACACTTCATCACCAATGCCTGTCTCAGCGCCTACAGAACAGAGGACAAGGGGGTTAGATAGGTCTCGCATTTTCGCTGTGTCAGTAACAATGGTTGATTGTTAAATTATCTTTTGCAATTCATGAACAAACAAAGAAATGGGTGCAGTCGTCAGTCTGTGTTAAATAATCTATGTAAATGCCTAAGTATAAGCCAGGTCCATTATTAGCGCTTACTGCAGGAGGTAGTAGACTTTAATACGAAGCAGACAGGCACCAAAGCCTTTCTGTCTGATTTTATTAGTTTATTTTTTTGGTACCTGATCTTATTAAATTTTTTGTGGGGCAGCAGAGAGTGGAGATGCTAATCAGTCACAACAAAACAAGAAACAAATGCAAATGGCCTGGAGATGGTTTGTAATGTAGTTCATGATAGAAATTTGAGAGTGCTCTGGACAATAATTGAAGGCTGACCTTAATTCACTCATAAAGGACAAGAGTGATTCCATCCTTATAAGGGATATGGCTGATAGCCTGAATACTGGTCTTTATTTAAGTCCTTACAGTAACCATTCAAATTCATTGACACATGAGTAATTAAAACATTACACTTACTTGTCTCCCAACTTCACTGTTGTGCAGGTGCATCAGTTTGTTGGCATGGGAGCCTGCACGCTTCATCTTCATGGGAGCGTCAGAGAACTTGGATCCCATCATCAAACCATAGTGAAGATTATCAGCACAGCCTCCCCAGCGGTATCCAGGCTCTGGGATTTCTGAAGGAATAGGACCACACGAGCACAGCCGCAGATCTCCAGAAGTGCAGGCCCGTGCAATGGTGTGGCTGATGGTTGCTGCTGACAGGGCGTAGACAAATGCAGACTCCCTTGTTCCTATGGAGTGAGATGAGAAGACAAAATTAAATGACCCAGACAAGGAAATGCATTGTCTATCGCATAATGTTTTCAAAATGTGTACCAAGTTTTTAGCCCACTAGAATATACAGTTGTAGTCAGGCTAACATACTTGGCTTTCTGGTTGGGAAACCTACAGCATTATGTTGCTTTAGCTATTTTAATGTAATTTGTTCACTACTTTCATTCAGAGCTTGTACAGGACCATGGTCTACTGCTGATATTGTTTTATGTTGTATCATTGTGTATTGTCAATAAAATTATTGAAACTTAATTAATTTTCTATGATCTGAGCTAGTGCGACCAAGTTGACTCTGAACAGAGGAGGCCCCAGATTAGAGCCCTGGGGAACTCCACGAGTCATTTTCATGCTCAAACATAAGGTTAAGGGTGACCATATTCTAACTTCCCAGAAAGAGGACATGACTACACGGGGGCAGAGTCACAGAGTCGCATGACGTTAATTTTGAGAGTTTTTCGGGTCGGATCAAGTGTCTTTTATGTGCTTCTAACTCAGTAAGTCCACGTGACACAAAATCGAAACTTACATACAAAACCGCAGACATTTAAAGGATTTTATAAACTTCCCAAGACAAACCCGGACAGCCCCCAAAAAAGAGGGCATGTCTGGGTAAAAGAGGACGTATGGTCACCCTACTACAGATATACAGTGTGTTAGTCTAACTTCAAGAAATTTGATTTCCAAAGTCAGGTTTTAGTCAAACTAATACAATACATAGATCCTTTATTTATTTCCTGTTAATGCACTGAATGCAGTTCCTATGGAGCTAAAGTACAATAAGGTAAGAACCTCAATGTAGAAAGGGCTTCAGATTAAATTTGGCATGATTAGAAATGGTTTCTGCAGTTTAGTCTCCAATGGTTTTTAAAAAGACCTAAAACCATTTAGTGATTGTAGGTAGGGTAAGTATCAAATTTCTTTCTGCCTGTTTACTGTCAGATCATAAGAAAATACCCTGTCCCGTGCTTCTAAAGCATAAGGTCAAAAATTTCTTGATTAATAAGTTGATGACCTGCCAGATTAAAACGCTCTATGAGGCATTTTTCTTTAAAAAATTCAATTCATGTGTATCAAACTCTGAGGTAGGACATTGTCTTTAAATTGAATTTGACTTTATTTGAGTTTAATGGTTGTTAAAATCATAAAAGTTTCATTCTTTAGAGACAGGAAACCGCTATCATTTCTCATAACTTGTGCTGAGTGTTAGTTGACGTCTGCAGTAGTCAGCCTGATCGGATTTAGGTTACAACGCATTCCACTGATCAAAAGATATCAAAGCAAATAAGTAAATCTAATCCAACATTGAAAAGTTCTGTAACACACACATCTCTGCCATCTATTTTCCTCTCTTCCTCTCAGGCGTATCTGCCTCAGAGGAGAAAAAATGACTGAGAGCCTTAACTGAATCTTTCCAACACAGTCCATCACAGCTGGAGTTGCAAGTCAGAGTGAGCCCTGATGTAATTGGAGGTGATGTGAGTACACAGAAAGCACACATGTTAAAGGCTGCAGAGCAATTGGAAGTAAGGGCAGAAATTATGTATGAGCGTGTGCTTGTTAGATCAAAGCTCAGCCTGGACAGAGATGAGCCGTTTCCTGTTCAGTGAAGACTGCTCATTTAGAGAAAGGCAGCCATGTCTGCACAGCTCCCCCACTTAAGACCAGCAACCGTGTTTGAATTAAGGTTATTTTGCTAATGGAAACAGTACGGTGGCTGACAAGGACAACCAGACGTCAACGACTCATATGATTTACATCAGAAGAAACAGGCAGCAAATTCAGAAATGGTGCAGATTCAAAAAACATGCAAAAGTTCAAATAAATGCAATGAAGGAAATATGCTGCAAAAAAGCTGAAACAGATGCATGACAAGCCCAGATGCTTCACATACATCAACAATATAATGTAAAAATAATGTATAAAACCTGAAAATTATATTCAAAAGAAAAATCCTGCTCATTTAGCCATCACCAAACGATCTCATCAGGACTAAGGAGGGCGCTCAGTGGAGCAACAGAGCAAAAGAGGGAGGCACTTAGATATTAAGATTCTGCCTTTGCACTGCAATCAAATACTCAACTCTGACTGGTCATAATTCTCAACATCATTAGTGATGCTAGGGACCACCTGACAGCATTTCATCTCTGCGTGTTGACACTGTGGCAAAAATAAGTCTCTATCTCAGACTTGCTTTTAAAGTAGGTGGGCACAGATGTGAGAGGAACATGAGAATCCTAACCACCTCTGCAGAACCACTGCGTGCAGCCAAACCACCTCTGGAGCGTGCTCGACCCTCAGGCCTGTTCTGGTCTGATTGGGGGGAATAAATGTTTAAGAGAAAATCAATCACCAAACACATGATCAAGGTGTGTTTGTACAACACAGTGAATTCCACTCAGGTAAACATATACTCTAAAAGTCGAGTTGAAATCAAACTACTGCAATCGACCTGTTGTTCAATACCATGTGTTACAGTGTTGTAGTGGCACAAAAGAAATAAAGAACTAATTTAAAGTCACATTATAAGATTGACATGAAGTGTAAAAGGGACTTAGATGTATTGCTTCAACTGGAAAGCAGCATTTATCATTATAAGAGACAATGCTTAAATCACTGTAGGGCCTAGCTCCTTGGTAACAGGGATTACAGTTTTCAAAAGTCCACATTCCTGACTCTTTTCACCCCACCCTGCTGTCTCATTAGAGGTATAAACAGACTAAGAAATACTCTTAAAGCGGCTCAGACTTACAAGTGAGACATTTCTGACCTGTTCATTTTGCCTCAAATCCAGGAATCACTTGTTTAAAGGCCACATTTCCATGTCAAAGCACTCCAAATAGCTGCCACGATAACACAAACAGATCGATCTGTTGTGGCACAGACACCGTAAAAGGTTGGAGAGTCATTTCAACAGTTACTGTAAACCGAATGGTAACACATTCATCACACAATGACCAGCCCTCTGGAAATTCATTGAAAGTCGAGCATGACCATAAACACCAAAATTTTTGTGGGTAAGAAGTTTGGCCTGCTCTCTGGAAAAAAACTGCCTCCATGTCGTCATGTCAAACAGATTTTTAGAGCGTACCTCGGTCGAGGTCAGGTCGATACTTCGGTGAATCAAGTGGGATGTCAATGGAGGAGCAGTTCCAGCGCATGTCAGCGAAGGTCTTCTGGCAGGTCTTCTTGACTTCACGGGCGGCCTGGATGATGGTCTGCATGAGCTCCAGGTTGCTGCGGCACAGCTGAGCCTGAGAGGAGACCATGCCGGGCAGCAGCTTACAGTGCTGGGTCTGGTTGATGTGAAAAGATGCAGGAGTGTGTGATAGGGCTCTGTGGGAACATAAACAAAAGGGATCGGTCAGTGTACACAATCACTTAATCACTGAGGTGATGATTACAGTGTGGTGGTTTCTCAATCGCTCCTTTTGTTAAATGAGATGTAAAATTTTCAGGTTTGTGTGAGTAAAAAGCACGCAGGGAGGTTCAGTTACAGTGGTGTGTTAGCGATTTTCCTGTGAACAAACAACTGAAGAATCCGAACAGCAGGGGATTATTTTGGCACGCATCGCAGACAAGAACCATCTTATCACACGAGGATCCCAAAGGAAAGCCAGCTGTGGATTCATAAAGCAGAAGTGACACAGTCTTGGCGTGGGCCTCTTCTTTTGTTATGGACAGCAGAAGCCTTTAGATCTGCCAGAAATAAAAAAAAAATCCCACAAACTCTGATCCATAATCAGATAAAACGCTGCACAGATCCTTCGCCATTTGCACTTTTTCACCACAGGAAGAGTCATCCCCTGTGGCTCGGGTTTGACACAAATCATTAGTTTACAGACAATAAAAGACTGCAGACATTTGATTTAAATGGATTGAGGATAAACTTAATGGAGGGATCCACAGGCGGAGCAGGTTAGCTCTGATCGTCCAGCTCTCTGTTGAGGGTTCGTGAGAACCGCAGCGCCGCCCGCTCCGTGGTCTGTTTTGCATTAAGAGGCCAAGGGGCCGCCACTCTGTGCCCGATGATAAGCTGTGACTCCTCTGCGCTCGCCTTAACCCGGCACTCACAGGTGTTTACAGCAGCATCTGTTTTGTATTGTAACGCTGTGTTTTATCAAAACCGCAGGAGTTCTCGCTCCGATCTAGCAGACGTCAAGCTCTGATGGACACATCTGCTAGAAGATGGAGAAATTCTTTACTAATGCACACAAGAGGAGTTGTAAGGTATCGGTCCTTAAAATTTATACACTTCCTGAAAAAAATACCATTACCTTCTACATATAAACACCAACATCTGTAACTTCTACTTCTTATAACTTAAGAGGGAAAAATGTTGTTTTATCTGTAGTGCATCCTGCAAAATTCTAGAACTTTGCACAGGTGTCTGTCTTGTTTTTCAAGAAATTTCCTATAAACTGGAAAAATTCAGGTGAACATCTTTTTATTTTATAAAAATACAAGCAAATTTTCACTAGATAGTATTTCACCATGACACATTTTACTAAAAAAATTGCAGCTGAGTAAGATAATCCACAGAAAATCACATCTTGAATCAAGTGACAGATGATCTTCACTGTAAAAATCTTCAATCTTTACAAGGGACTTCACCTGATATTTCACCAAACTATCTGACTACATACACTTACTCAAACTGCACTAGCCTCAAAGTCTCAAATATAAACCTTCTGTTAAAATTTTCAAGACAGAAGTTATTGAAAATAAGTATTAAATATTGTTTTTAGACACTTGTCAAGAAGATTTTGCATTTTGCATTCAGTTTCAGTCTTAACAATCAAGTTCCTAGATTGTTAAAACCCTCCAACAGGACACGGAGGTTTTCCTATCAATTAACTCCACTTTCACAACGGTTAGATGATTTTCAGTTTGCCTACAGGGGGCACCAAAGTCAACACAAACAGAAAATTCCTCACAGGAGCTTTAAGTGGCTGTACTTTTATTTGAGAGGAATATCTTGTACTCTTTCTACCCTTGCAAATAAGAGGAGCTGAATCACTTCTTATGAGCAACTTTTGGTTTGTGTTGGTTTTGGTGCCTCCTGTGGACAGAGCTGGATGTGCTTATCTTGTAAAATACATATCTAAGTAGTTGGTTTTTATTATTAAAATCTCACCTTGTTGATTATTTACTGGTAAGTTGTGTAAACTGTTGTGGATCTTCAATATTGAAAAAGTAAGAGTGGCTGTTTTTTACCCCTACGCTCATCACTAGAGTTACAGGCATTAAAAGCTGGAATAATCATCTTTTATCTCATTGCTAGCATTCTTGTTTGCATTTGAATATCATGAAAAGGCATCAATACAAATTTCAGTCTGTTCTATAAATGTCCAGAATTCCTCATAGGAGCTCAAATTGTAACGACATGTTTGTTATGAACAAGAGGGAGGAGGAAACGCTTGCAATAGTGAGAGGACATTTTATCCTTCTCTAAAATAATGGCTGATTTCAACATCAATACGGGAGTTCACACTAAAAGAAGCTGAAGTTCTTGCCTTCAGTTCAAAATAAGGTCATGCAGAAAAATTATTGCCAAAAAGGGCAAAAAAAGCCTGATTTGCACTCACACTCCTTGATATTTTCAGAGGTTTTCAGGAGCTTTGGACCTTCAGTTTTCCGAAGTTGCTCATTCACACGTGTCCCTTTCAGCATGAAGTCTCCCCTGACGGATGAGGGAGGTGATGGTGGGGGTCGGGGGTTGTCAGGAGGCAGGACATGACGTCAAAGCAACAGAGATCTACGATGTGATGAATGGCTTTTAAATTCATACCAGTGCTTCAAGTAAACAGACAGATGTGCAGACAACTGCACTGTTCTCGTCTTGAAATGGTCCTTGCTTTTTCTTCACCTTCACCCGGTTACTTGTCGCTCTTTTGTGTTTGCTCGGTAACATGACATAAATGTCACCCCCCCTTTGCACACACTGAGTTTTGGCTCTTTTTCTTAAATGCAGCCTTCTCTGAAAAGTTGTGAATGTTTTCAGGAGGTCTGAAGACAAATTAAGACATAACCATGGAGGGCAGGAAACCAGACACTGAAATAGAGGCGTTTACTGGATTTGACGGCTTTGACTGATCATCAAGTTGCAGAAACGTTGGCATAAGAGAGGCAACCACCATGGCGACAACTTCAGGGCACCATCTAAATCATTTACACATCAGAGCAAAGTCGATGTTCTTTTTGTTTTGTTTTTTCTGAATTAGTTTCATGATCTCTAAAACAAAAAGGTGACGTTGCAGACTAAGAGCTGATAGAGATGACTCTCAAAGGTCTACTTTATGCTCTTACCCTGATACTGGGAGGACTCCAGAGCAAAACATCTTAACTTTTACCCCAGTTAAGAAGTGGAATCAGTAGATTTTAATTTTCAAAAGTCACCGTGTCCTTCTCCGCCCCGAAATACGCCAAAGTCTTCCCTCATAATATCACTACTCTCCCTGATAAGAATCCGTGGATATTTTTTGGAAAGCCTTTCCAGACATTTCTGTTTTGACAGCGATGTGACATTAGACACGGAGATAAAACTCAGATGGAGACACACACAACAGAACACGCAAGCTATGACGACAACCGCAAAGGTTTTATGAGGATACCAAAGAGAGCTGTGCAGAAGATCCAGCTGAAAGAGAAATAAAACAAGAAAAAAAAGAAACTTGGTAATTTTACGGTCTTACTATAATTACAGTGAAAATGATTGTTTGGTTTTTCTCCACGGTTAAACCAGTGTGACCAGTGTGAAGCTTGGTGCGTGCAAAAGTTTGAGCCAGCATTCACTCTATTTTTACCCTGAGTGACCAAGAAAGTTTATCCATGATGCCTCATCATCTTTACCCTTTTTTCTCCTCTTATCTTTTTGTTTTTGTGCAGCAGCAGCAGGAGGGAAACTTTCATTGTCATTTTTTAACCGAAACATGAATCCTATCTCCTTTTACTGAAGCCAAACTGAAGTCATGAAGACAAAGAGGTTTCCGTTCATGACCTGAAAAACTGCCAGCTAATCCTCTAACCTCTCATCAGACACACATGTACAGAGCACGCAGCCTTCATCAGGAGCATCAGGAGGAACGTAGGGGCCCTTTTCAAAGCTGCCACAGGCCCTCAAATCTATAAACCACGCAGAAAGAGCCACACAGTGCAGTGCATCTGCATAACGTCATGTATTTTGACATAGACTGATTGCACAGATAGTGCAGGCTTAAAGAGAGAGGGAGAGGTGAGTACTTACAGCCATTTGATGCCGGAGCAGAGCTGAGACAGCAGCAGAGCCGTGAGCACACCCAGAGGCAGGACATGAGAGCTGCTCCTCATGTTGGACAGAGACTCCGCTTCACACAGGACAACAAACACAAAGAGCTGCTGGACCTCTTGGCTCACACTTAAAAGTGGACTCTCATGGCACGGCTGCGTCCTCCTCTAAATCCTGTAATGATAACATCAATATTAGCAAAGACTCAGCCATGACGCAGCATGCCAGTGGTAACATTTGCAGATTTAGAGCATTTTTTTCTGGTGAATTCAGTTCAATGGCCAGCGTGAGAGTCTTTGTGTGAGCTCTATGACCTTACAAGGTTTGAATCTGGGAAAACAGTGAAACAAACACGGGATCCGTATACTTCAGTGTCAAAAACAATGAAAGAAAATCTTGGATTTGTTTTAGGTCTCAATCAGCAATGTCAGAGATTGTGCAGAGGTTCAACAATAAAGATCTGTGAGATAAAAACGTAGCTGGGATTGAGTGTGCTTTGTAAGGAACATAGATACACACAAAAGGCTTAAATGTAAGCACTCAAACTCACTGTAAGAAAGAAATAAAGCCAAGTACTCCAAACTGATTTGACGAATAAACTCAGACAAAAAACTGCAAAGTAATCTCAAAAATAGACTTTTGCACAAAAGACTGTACTGACTTGTCTTCAATGAAAACTGACCTTTATTAAAGTGACTTTATTGAACATTAGGTTATCTTATAATCACGTTTAATGAAATATTTCTATTTATAATGCAAAGTTTGGGTTAAAAAAAGTGACATGAACTTTATCTAAACTTTAACCTGGATTACAGCGGACCCAAAGCGACCATTTTCCCTGTTTTTACGCACCACCAGGCGCTAAGCCCTGCTCCTCTTGTGAAAATGTAAAGAATTTAAACAGCATCAGTAGATCAGCTCAATAATCTGCTGCTGCGTTTATCTGATAGCGCTTTGAGCTGTTGATAAGACATCTCTTTGAAGGGAGCTTAAAGTGAGCGCGTTAAAGCGGCAGGTAGCGGATAATGGGCCTTTTTTTACGCACCAGTTCCGCTGCGAGTCTCTGATTGGCGGAGAAACTGTGTGAAAGCACCGATATTAACTATTTAAATGAGATAAGTGAAACCCATCAGCAGGCTGTTGCTTGTCACACTCGATTAACGACTCTCTGAAAGCACCAAAGGCTAAAATTAGACATTATCACTATTTTCGTGGAAAGAAAAAACAGCTTCTCCTTGTCTTTGCGCATTCAGCTCGTGTTTGCAGTTTGAAGCCATAAAAAAGTCGCAGCCTGAAGTGGATTTACTGTTTAAATTTACATAGCTCTAGAGTGGGCTAAATGAGCTCCTGTTTCCCCTCCTTAGCGATAAAGCCTGATATCCTCACACTCACACACCATCCGATGTGTGTCTCTCAGCGAGCCAAGATAAGCGGGGCAGGGCGCACCGAGAGGACTATCAATCATATTTACCAACTAACACAGGGGATCTAATTGTTAGAGAAGAACTCACAAGTGTATTTTTATAGACGAGTCACGGAAATATTGTTGCCAAACTGCACGTGGAGGCAAAAGTCGAGATTTTTGAAGCCCAAAAAAAAAGTGAGCTAAATTTGGAGATCGCTTAAATCGAAATGGAATCACAACAACTTTGACTTTTCAGCTTGCAGAGATTTCTCCCATCTGATAGTCCTTTAGACAATCCGATTTACACAGTTTATTCATCAAACCACAATTAGACCAAACAAACTTTGCCTCGGTTCAATAATCCTTTACTTTAGCGCTCAAGGTGCGTAAAATACGCGGAGCAGAAGCCAAAAAGAGTTTCTCCTCACCTTTGCCGCAGCGTTCAGCCGTCTCTGTCCAACAGGTATCAGAAAAGTAAAAATCTAATCTCCGCAGATCGGATTATCCTCCCAGAATTCAGTCTGTTTCGATATCAACCAGAAGTGCCCGTAAAATCCAGTATGATGAGGTAGAGTAGATCCGCACAGGTACGCATGGTGTGTATGAGCGCGGTGTCTTCTTCTGCTGCTGCTGCTGCTGGAGGAGGAGTGTGTGCAGGAGTGTGTGTGTGGGACAGGGAGGTTGCAGTGAGTGTGCAGAGTGGGGGCAGACTCGGCTCTAAAGTACCCCAGCCCCGCTTTGATCTCACTGCTGATGTCAGAGCAGCATTAGCATAAGAAAGCAGGCGGCACCGGGAGCAGGGAAGAGAGCTCTAATACTGAACTGTGAGGGAGTGAGACTGAAACTGTGGAGGAAAACACTCAGGAGAGACCACACATAAAACAAGACCACACAAAAAAGAAACAGTCTCACTTGGTGATTACGGACACAAATAGTTGGCAGGGGTGGAAAGAGCATAAAATATTCTACTTTAGTCTAAGTACAGTTACTTTAATGACATTTTAGCCAAATAGAAACATGCCAGTCTTTTAGTCAACTCAAATAAAAGGAATAGAGTACTCAGTACTTTCTGAACATGTTAGTGGGGATGGAGGTGTAAAACGTGTCCCTGAGTCATGTTAAAGCAAATTTTCCCAATCGTACTGTTGTAATAAGCAGCCACACTCACCAGAGAGGTTATTTGGTACTTTTTCTGCATCTTCTGTTATTATTGCTCTTTGGAGATGCTGTTTGCACACAAAACTCACGGCTGGCTGTGCAGTTGTTATAGCAACTCAGAGAGTTGTTATCCTGCCTTAAAAGGCCTTCCCGTAGTGACTAAAATTGGCTAGTGAGCAAATGTTCCTTGATTGTTTCCTTGACATATACTTGATTTGAGAAACTTCTCAAGAAAGTTTAGATGTAATACTCTACTTAGTTACAAGAACCATAACATTACAAAGGTAAAACTATCTGTCTGTTGATCTGCTCAAGGGACAGTAAAGAGTACTTTATTTAAAGTGTACAAAAAGTACCAAGTTCTTATTTTAAACTCATGTTGGTGGGAGTCAAAGGAGTAAGACACGTCCTCCAAGTCATGTAAAACAAATTTTGCCCAAACTGATTGTTTTAATGTAACCAACAGCACTAATGAGGGAAGTGATCTTGACTGCGCATATCCAGGTTGAAATTATTTAACTTTTTTATAGCATTTTTTGTAAGGATTGCATTTTCAGGTCGGCACACTCATGTTACAGCTTTAGGATTACTGTGAACTAGAAATACCCACTGAGCTATAGACGTCTATAGTTTTGTTTTAGACCTAATTTCAACCATCTAGATTCTGTTTATTTTTAGACAGCATTTAGACGTTGCACTTTAACTTATTATTCAATAACTATTTACTTCAAAAAGCAACTGTGAGTTGCATAACTGATCTCCAAGTACTTAACCAAAATAATTATGAAAGCTGTTGCGCAATATACAGTGTAGTATAGATATAGCCCAGATTTAGACTTGGTCTAAAGTTAGATGTCTAAAGAACTTTCTTTTGTAGACCTGTGGTAGCCTGATTTTAGACCAGTCGTCTAGGCCACATTTAGATGTCTATTAGACCTCTTTTAGACCAAAAAATGCTCAGTGGGGAAGGACTTGACTAATTGTTTTTAGTAAAAACAGCTGAAAATGCAAGCAAAAATTTTCTTGATACATTTCTTAAAACACAAATGCTTTCTTTTTTCTTAAAAAACACCTAAAACAAGATTGATATTCAGACCTGTCAGGTCAGTGTAATTTATTGAGATATCTTGACTATATTTTGAGTTTACTTAGTAATATCTGAGTTATTTACAGTGCAGATCAGCTGTCAGTTGATGCAAAGCTTGTATGTTGATTGTAATTTACTCACTCAGTAACTGAACAATATATTAAAGTATTGCCCTTTCCAGAGAAAATACTTGTACTAAAGAAAAAGTACTGAACATTAAAAACTACTCAAAAAAGCAAACAAAAAGCCACTCAGTTTCAGTAACACGAGTAAATGTAAGCTGTTACCACTCCTGATGATTGGCACAGAGACCCTGTTTTAAAGCTCCAGTGAGGAAATGTAAGCTGGTTATGAAACAGACTAAAATGATCCTTAATGCCTCTTTATGGGTGACAAAACTGAACAAGACCATCGGCAAACACATTAACAACTGATATTCAGTAATACAGTAGCGACAAAACCAACACAAACAGACCCCCCACAGGAGAATTATCAGTCTTATTACAGTAGCTGCACGGAAACTTACAGAAAACTGATTTATTGATTCTCAAATGACATGTTTTAAATACCATAATGTTTTATCAGTCTTTTTTTAGCCATGCTGCAAAATCCCAAAGCTAGACTATAGTGACTTAACCTTATAGCACTGCAAATAAATACATATTAGTTTGAAACATCACCGCATCTACATGTAAGTGAAAGGACTAGCACAAACATGTGCAGAGGGGAGGGCTGGATGTCATAGATGGTGAAAAAAAAATCTTGTTGGTGATACCTGTTTCAATGCAAGACCTTAAAGCTACTGTGAGGATTTTTTAACTGGTCATGAAACAGCCTGAAATTCACAAGGATGACATCTATTGACCTTTACAATAGTTCAAGACCTTCAGCACTGAAAATTAAAATAGCTTACTTCTAATATTTAATGCCTTAGCTGTCTTGAGGGGGGTAGGTGTCACTCCATACATGACTGAAATTAACCTGCAGAAACAGCCTTTTTATACTTTTTGCATTTTTGACTTTTAAAAAGGCAGGTGAGAGACTTTTAGCCTGAGAACCCAACTCACACATGCACAGGACAAAAACTGCAAAAAGATAAGAGACATCACTTTATCCAGAGGGGGTGCCAAAAGCAACACTAACATAAAGTTAATCTCAGGAGCTCGAAGAGCATTTATAAAATGTTTAAAAACATATTAAAAAAATTAATACAGTGAGTCCTACAGTTTTCAAATGACACATTTTCTATCTCAATTTCATTGGACTAAGTAAAATTGTCATGTAATCTCTTTTTAATGCCACACAACACACTAGGAGGTCCAACGTAAAGTATATGACCAGCTTTACAGCTTCTTTTATTTACATGTACATGGAAACCAAAGTTCAGAAGTTCACAACTTCATAGTGCTCCTAAATAAATATATAAAAGTGCCATACAGTGGCAATAGGTAAAGTGAAAAGTAGCCAAATGAATGTAATCAATAAAAAAATATATACTATCAAGAAACTGAATAATACGATCTAAAAACAACATCAGAAATAAATTGTCAAACAAATATAAAAAACAGAGGGGCAGATTCAGCTCCGTCAGTTGATCAGGAACTTTGTGTTCAGAATTCAGAGGCTCGGCCCCTGTTGCCCCGGTCTTGGATCTGTTGCAGCTCCAGCATGATTTGGTCCATGTCAACCTACTCTCTCTCCACTTTTTCTGCCTCTCTCCCTCATAGCTGTCTTTCCTAAAGAGGAGAAAATAATCTTTAAAAAATTTTAAAATATAAAACAAATATGAAGCAAATTATGTTCGACAGTAGAGACAGAGATCACATGTAATCATCAAATCATTTTACATGATAGAGTATACAGGACTCTGGTACTGCTGCAGTCATAGCTTTTTCCTTCATTTTGCACTTTTACTTATGATTGACTGTTTGTTTGTTATCCGTATTTTCATATGTCATTCACATAAAGTAGGTGGGTTTAGAGGGCACAGAGTTTCGGTTCCAGCTGTCAAACATTTCATGTATTTTCATGTCGTCACAGAGTTTCATGATTTTTGAAGTTCGGTCTTGAACAAATATTCTGTCTTTTCTTCTTAGCTGTTAAATCTTCAACATGGTCATACCAAAGCACATATCAAGCACTTCTTTTTATGTTTTCAAATACATGTGGATTATAAAAAAAAAAAAAAAAAAGGATGTAATTTTAGACCGACCTCAAAACAAACATGAGATATTCTTAATTTTACCACACTTACACCACAAGTACAGCCTGTCCTTTAGTGTACAGGTTGGGTCTGTTTTTTAGGGTTGACAGTAATGTCATGTAAGGATTTTTTGTATTCTGCTCATAAAAACTAAGAAATATGAGACCTCTGATAAACTGGAATATACTGACGGGAAATTTGCTCTATGCTTCCCTACAGGATACTGCTGTAAAACCCTCCCTGGTTTAAAACCTGGGTGTCCAAATGGGCCGGGCCCAAAGTCTGGAGCAGTGTGTAAATGGACTTGTTCACTCATCTTATTATCATTTGAGAAATATGTCCAAGCTCAGACCCATAGTGTCTAGGAATGAGCTTGAGATGATTGTCCATGCCTTTGTCGCATCTCATCTGGACTATTGCAATTCTTTGTTTACTTGTTTAAATACCTCTTCTTTGAACTGCCTGCAAGTGGTTCAAAAAGCTGCAGCTAGGCTCCTGACAAAATCATCTCATGTCACATGTCACACCCATACTCAAGTCTTTACACTGACTCCCCATTCAATTCAGAATTCAATTTATATGACTTGTTATTATGTACAGATCTTTGCATGGACCAGCTCCAGCTCAGAGACCTACTGAAGCTTTATAACTCCAGCAGGAATCTAAGATCCTCTGATCAGGGTTTGCTGGTTGTCCCCCAGACCACACTCCCGAACTACAGGAGATCATGCCTTTGAAACTTTGGAACTCTCTCCCTAGTCAACTAATAAATGTGGACACAGTGGATACTTACAGAACAAAGTTGAAAACCCATTTGTTTCTTCTTGCTTTTGTATGATCAGGACTTTGGCTACTAGTGTACTATTTGTTGATGTTTATGTCATGTTGTCTTATCCCTTTTTTGATTGTTGACTGTGAACTACTTTGTGACAACTGTTCTTGAAAGGGGCTTTAAGAATAAAGTTTATTATGATGATAAACAACAACAACAACAACAACATAATAATAATAATAATAAGAAGAAGAATAATAAGAATAATCATTATTATTATTATTATTATTATTATCATTATTATTATTATTATTATTATTATTATTATTATTATTATTATTATTATTATTATTACTACACGATTTTAAATGAAAAGTGGATTGTCAACAACAAACAAGAGCACAACTCTGATGGAGAAATAGGAAGATTGGATATTTGATTATTACTGAAGCAGTTTAGGGCCACTGAAAAAAG